ATTTATATACTATAATCTAATTTATGAATTATTAATAAAATGTTTAGGCAGTAATAAGATATATGTTGATGTTAACGTAGTCTTTAGAATTATTGTAATAATTTTCAGTGTGATAATAAAAGAGCTATATCATGTACCAAAGTGTATTAAATTATCAATAATAACTGATCATGAATGAGTGATTATTATCTTTTTAAGTGACCTTTGAAATGTCTGAAGTGCATATATATGTAACTAATGAAGCATGTATTAGCAAAATATTTTTGAACTTTATTTAAGTTTATTAGTGTCGTATATTTGAATTACATATCATTGGTAATATTTATAATTCTGTACTTATTTAACTTAATCATTTGTGTCAACGTATTTTCTTATAACCACTAAAGACAAAAAATATTATGTTAAGGTTACTTTACACTTTTGTCAAGTATTTCATTTGATAGGAAAGTGTTAGTGATGTAATACTATGAAATTGAAGTTAAAACATTTTTGGTCATTTTTATATATTTATAAACCCCAGCACCCCAGGACCGGCCCAGCGCAACAATAATTTCGCTGCGTTTTTGCTGTTTCGTGTAAAGTGCATTATTATCCATGGTCACATATCTCATAAAAAGATATTTTCCTATAAGTTAAAAGTATTATGAATTTCACTTTAAAAAAGTTTTGAATTAAACAATGTCTTTCGCATTCTCTAATCTACGTCGCATGTCAACTGCATCTAGAGTTTTGGAAAAGTCAAAAGTATTTTATCCTAACCTATCAGTATTTATACGTTGTAAATCAGGTAAGATAAATGAAAATTAAATAAAAATTGAATGACATTGATGTATCTCAATATAATTACCAAACTCTCAATACAGATAATACAGTTGTGACTATTGGTGATGTTTCAAAACAAGTGAAGTCTGCACAGAATCCTGAATATGTACCAAGGAAATACTGTAAGTTAAAGAAGTTTCCTTCTATATTATCTATGCTCATTTGTTTACTTAAATTGTTATTGAAACAGTATTACAAGCAACCACTCAAGAAACATTAAGGCATTTAAAATGGATGCTTCAAAAGGATATTTTATCTCAAGATATTTTTTTAATGGGAGCACCTGGAAACAGACGAAGAGAATTAGCCCTAGCATTTCTTGAACTCACTGGTCGTGAATTAGAATTTATTGCACTTTCAAGAGATACAACTGAAGCAGATTTAAAACAGAGACGAGAAATTAAATGTGGTACTGCTTATTACCATGATCAAAGTGCAGTAAGAGCTGCAACAAATGGAAGAATTCTTATCATCGAAGGTGTTGAGAAAGCTGAACGAAATGTACTTCCAGTTTTAAATAATTTATTAGAAAATCGTGAGATGCATTTAGAAGATGGTAGATTTCTTATTCCAGCATCACGTTATGACAAATTACTAGAGGTAATAATATATATTTCACTGCATATTATTATAAATTGAAATGTCTTAAACTTGTTGAATATTTGCAACAGATGCATAGCCAAGAAGAATTAGATGCGTGGCATCTTGTCAGAGTTAGTGAAGATTTTAGAGTTATTGCACTGGGTTTGCCATCACCACAGTATCCAGGACATCCATTAGATCCTCCTCTCAGATCTAGGTTTCAAGGCAGGCATGTACCACCATCAAATTATAAAGTAAGTATATTTAAATAATTGTTTAAATCTAACTATATTGCTAATTATACATTACCAATTTAATTACAATCACAATGTCATAGTTCTACACAATCATTGTTATGAGACAGACAGTGTATTCGAATAAAAAAAGCCCATACCATTAATTATTTCAGTAACAATGGGATAAAAATTGTTATTTATGTTATACAATTACTATGATTCATAGTTATTTTTAGAGTACCTATTTGAAATTTACTTCTCAGATGACCAACATTTCCCAACATGCACTACTTTTAAATCGCTTTTCGTAACATGATCAAAACGCATATTTAAACATATATGAAATCTTAGCACAATTTTCTTATATCGACAATAATATTTCGAAGTATATGGCAATGTTTACTTCGATGTTATTTATTTACTAAACGAATTCAATCAAAAATTAATACATCGTAGTAGTATGCAATCCTGCAATTGATGTTAATTAAAATAAAGTAAACAAAATAATGGAAAGATTTGAAGCAGGGATAGGAAAGGAGATTGCGAGAAACAAGTTGAACATAACAAAATAAGTTAACAAAGATTAGATAATGAAAATAAGGGTAAAGCTACGTTCGTACGTACGAAGCATTCTATACGCGTCTCTTATTAGCAATTTGAAGCTGCATAAGTCTCACGTGATAACGCTCTGTAATTAGTGTCGCGGCTTAGTGGAGGCAGCAGCACGTGCAATTTACCGAAGTTTTACCTGATTTATGAATACGTAACGGCGTACCATGGACATGGGGTGCGGAGGTTACACCCACCCCTCCAGTTAGCCACCCCTTCCGGTGCTCGTTCCCTTCCTATATAAACAGTTCGTCGCAGCGCTATGGTCACAGTCATCGCGGTTTGGATCGCGTGTCCCGCACGTCGGAGCCCTGTTTGTCTTCCGAGTTCAGCCTAGAGTCGATACGTAGTAGTGTTCCCTCGAATTGTCACCAAATCTAGAGGAAAGTCACGAGCAATCAAGAAGTTCCGCTTCTTTGAATCGTTCCATCATGTCCAAAAATTCAACAAAGAAGAAAAGACAATGACGAACGGCGTGGACAGTGAGCGTTTCTCAAAAAATCAAAACCTTATGTAATCTAACACGAGTTGCTCATAGTTGACATTTACATTAAAACTTTTATCTTCTGATGCTACTAGTACACGCAGTCGGCATAGTTCAAGTTTTCCATTAGCAATGCCGGCTATATGGTCGTCCTCGGAGAGACCGTTGTCTGTTCGCACCGTTTGGGTAGACGGTATTCGACACGCGATTTTGTCGCCTAACGATCCACTGATCGATCCCAAGCTACAGCGACGGTCCCGCGAATCCAGGAACAAAAGCTACACGCCGGAGTATCGACGGATTGGCTCGGAATCGGGGCTGGATCGCTTGAACAGCTGTTTCAGCAACCTGCACGTGGTCGTCGGCAACAATTTGCCGGAGAACAAGTCGCCGCGGGTGTACCGGAAGTTGTCTGCGCCTCCTTGCAGCAGACTATCGACTACCGGGTCTAGCAATGTAGGATCCTTGGAGGATCATCAGAAGTTGGCAAGGGGTCGGCGGACTCATCGGGCATCGACTGGAGAAACTGAACAGGGCATAGACGTCCTGGTGGACAAGCCGATGTTCAGAGACGAGATTTGCAGACGGAAGACATCGGAATTGGAAGCCGATACTGGTTCTAGCAGGATGGAACGGAGACAGACAGAGGGCACGTTCGATACTTTCTGGAATCCGTTGTTTGAGAGGGTACTCCAGTGGCTGGATTTATCCGGAAGGGCGCAAAGTTACGAGTTCGAGGAGGACTTCGCGGAAAGTTCGCCGCGGAGCGAAGAACGGAAGTGGAGGCTCATGAAGAGGAGGATACCGCGGTTCAAACGCGAATCTTTAGGGAAAGAAGGGATCGTGATACAGAATTACAAACTGCAGAAAGGGGGTAATCCCGAATTTCCGAGGAAAGAAGAGAACAGGACGCAACAGAGGAGGCTACCCAAGATTAGAAGCACGAGAGATGAGGATCGAAATGACGACGGCACCTCGTCGGATGTTTTGTTTTGCGTGTCGTCCGCGAAGACGAATTTAGAAGTGGAGAAAGACGAATCGAAGGAAGAAGTTCGAACGCGGGAACGAGTGTCTGCAGCCTGGTCTCCTCCAAGACGCCTTCAGTTACACGTTGTTATGCCGAATCTTGTGTGCAAGGAGAACACGTCCTCGCAAGAGTCACTGATCGCTGATTAATCGAAGATACCATTTTTCATATATATATATACATCGTAGTTATTCTATTAAATAGTATGAAATTTTCTATGAATATTCTATGAAGAGAATTGTTTTCCGCTTTGATAAATTTTCTGCGACGTTTATGTTTGATCCTTGAGAGTATAAGTTGAAATAAAGTAGTCGAGTTGTTCCGAGTTTCTGAGATGAACACGTTTATAGGAGGAAATTAATACAATAGATTATGCAAAACTAATTATTGTATGGATTATGGTGTTTCTCTTGTTATTGTATTGTAAAAATATGTTGAATCGTTTACTAAGGTACTGAATTTATGGTAATTTTTTAAATTGTAAGCGCGATTAATGGATACTATTTTCATCGGGGGACGATTGGATATTATCCATTATTCACCGCGTGAAAAATCAACTAGGAAATGGTGCCGGCGCGAGACGTCGCGACGGACACGTTTACTCATTTGCCGCGTAGTATGTCTGCAAATTCGAAGCAGTAAGTAAAAGGCACGGGGGTTACTTAAAAAGTCAAACGTAATTAGAAGGTACAAGATGTTTAAACTGTTTCGAGACATTATTCCGTGACGGAACGGAGGCAATATTATTTGGAGAATTCTTTGTCACGCATTGCAATTTGCAGAGGAAATGACTTTACACCTGCACATTTTGCACCGCGTACACGTGAAACGTCCCATTTTTAACAATTTTCTGTCTTTACTTTTTCGGTGTCGCTTTTACTGTTATTAACATGCATCGTAAAAGTCATTCGAAGAACCTAATTATAAACTGCTGATTATTTTACAGTGGTAACTGGAGCTGGATAAAATTAAAAAAACAAGACGTTTATAATACTTTCGTAGTATTGAATACTATACAAATTCAAACTGTGTTAGAAAACATTATTTTTAATATTTTAAAAATAAAATATTTATTTTATTTGTGGAACTGTAAAATGTTTTGAAGATTTGATATTTATATTATATTCCTGTATTAGCAACATTTAATACGAATCATTCTCTCAGTGTTAATGTAGATAAACCAAGAATATTCTATGAAATCTGATCTTTCAACGTTTTCCTTCTGTGACAATTAATTCATCTGTGCTAAATTGAACTGCCATAATTTATTAGAATTGTTGCATCGCGTGATACTGTCGCAGGAGAAAGCATTAATGCTGTAATTGCTTGGCGACGTATTTCAAGAAGTTCATAAAACTTTGTCACTCGGGCATATTTATCGCGACGTACAAGGAATATAGTGTTGATCTTATCTCTGACGATGATTTATACAGAAAAGTTGGCAGGTAATCAACATTGCAGTGGTATTTCTAAATCGTCCTCGGCTAAGAAACCTGATTAAAAGTACCATTAAATGCAATCTCGGAATTGAGCTTGCGACTAAGTTACACGACAGTTTCTCTACGAACAACTCTTTCACGATAGAAATCAAAATGATAATGATAACTCATTGGTTTAACGCAATCACAATTATGAACCAATGCTGTATAATTAAATAAGAATATATTCAGTCCTTAGATTTTGTTTTCACAACGTTACTTTGTAACAATATTTATTTCCCTAGCCAATATACAAGAGACGCAAGAAAATGAAAAGTCACGGGAAGAAATGCGAACGTCCGTTAGAAATTTAAACCCTGTCGTTCTATATTTACACGTAAGAAGCACGTAGCTTTACATTTCACTTGAAAAGTGGTCGTTTAAGGTTGAAGTTGTTAATAAAAATTTATCGTCGAAACTTGTTAACGGTAAAAAAATTCCATTTACGAGCGGAGCGGTAAGCGTAAAAGGAAATCGATCTGCGCCGAATTGATTTCGCTGAGTGTTCTCGACTTTTATAGGAGTGTTTTAGCCGAATCGTTTCACGGAACCGTATTTTCGCCGTGACCGCGGTTATCGCGTCGATAGGCTCGAGAATGTGGCTCAATTGAAACTTTTCGATGGGAATCTGCGAGCTACCTCGAGGATTCCGTGCCGAGTGGTAGTTATTGCCGTGCTCGGCGCACAATGGGAAGCTCTCTCAGCGCTAATCACTCGGGTGGACTGTTTCAAACAAACCGTGGTGTAACATTCCGTACGGCGCGGTTGTTCGCGATTACGCCGGAGTATGCGGTTCCCGGGCAAACGGAAACAATGCGGATACGTCACGGAAGTAACGCAACCGTAACTGAAACCCGAACGGTAGCAAGAGGAGGCCGCGTATCATTAAGCTTCGCTTGAACGGATGTTCTGAGGTTCAAGCGTCACTTGTCCGACAAAATCATCAAGATGTAGTGAGGAAGAGATGGCCCACATCTTTTAAAAAGAATTATTACATCATAAATATCGTTAATAGCTAAGAATAAAATATATATTTATGAAAATAAATATATGTAAGAAAAATAGTCAAATAGGCCTCTCAAGATTCAGTTTACCATTAAAATTACCTTATCGAGTTGTAATTTCGATAGTTACTTTGTTGAAATTGTGCAAATTACAGAGTAGAAATCATTAGTCGTTCATATTGTAGAGGAATTTAACTACGAATTTCACATTATAGAGAAGGTGATAGCAGTAATAGTAGTTAGACATTTCTTATGGTACTATTGTATCGTACAAAGAGAAAACGAACGAGTAAAAGATGCAAGGAAACGAATAAAAAGGAAATGAAAAGTGAATGGTTGTAAGTTGATGTTGGTACTTTTCGATTCTAGGATCAACTGGAAACTTTGAAAAATCTGGTTCCAAACGTAGACTCCGGGAAATTATCACAATTGTTGTCGTGCGCGCATGCTTTGGTCACAGAAGAGGCAGTATCCTTAGGTCTTCCTGATTTCCCTTTAGACAATCTAACCTCAGCCGCTATTATAATGGTAAATATTCTGGGTTTGCGTACACTGGTGCGTTTCAACGTTGAGCTAATTCCAACCTTATCGCAGGACAAGTGTTCGTACCTGTCGGTGTTCGACATATTTTATAGGTTCTATCCGTACAAGTTGTTTTTGGGTAAAGAGGGTCAATCAGCTGTCGAGGACATATTGAGTACATTTAATATCAGGAGCCGAGTGAATGATTCGTCGAGTGTCACGATACCTCCCGGCGATATTAAAACATTTTTGAATGTAAGTGTTATTAGGAAAAAGAGAACGTACTGAAACGTTTTCGTTTAAATGAACATTTTGTTAGCAGGTGCCTTGCGGTACGAAAGAGGCAAATCCTAATGTATGGCAAAATAAATATGTAAAGACGAATTATCAAAACAACTTATTGACCAGTATGGTAGAGACCCATTTGGTTTCCGACTTGTGTGTAATTGGTCCGAAGGGTTGCGGAAAATCTACGACCGTACAGACTTTAGCCGATTTACTAGGGTACGAAGTAGAACCTGTAGTACTTTTTCAGGCAAGTGTTGCACAATGTTCTTGTAAAAATGTCTCTATCGACTGTTTTCGTATAAAATGATCGTTGATAAATTTTATTACCTGCAAGCGATGTTGAGAAACAAAAAGAAAGACATCCTTAGAAATTATTTACTCCAGTAGAAATCATCTTGGATTTGACGAAGACTAATGGAGACTTTATTAAGCCTCTTCAATCGGATATCATTTCCGTCACATTTCCCGAGTCCGTTCAATTAATTAAACACAAACTTTCCATCATCAAGCTTAAAACTTTGCTGTAATAGGATTTAAAAGTTCTCAGACTGGAATATCTTAAAGACAAGATTTTTATGCGTCTGAAAAATCTTCTTAGGACATGACTTCGAGAGACCTTATACAGCAGCGAACAACATCATCCAACGGCGATACAGTCTGGAAAAATTCGCCATTAGTAGACGCGGCCTTGCACGGAAAATTAGCCGTATTGGACGGAATAAATAGAATTCACCCGAGTACTTTGGCGGTACTGCATAGGTAGCCTTGAATATTAATTCTATGCCATCGTAACAGGTGAAAAAGCTATCATCCGTTTGTAGATTGGTTCACGACCGGGAACTGCAATTGCACGACGGTAAACGTTTGATCAGGGCGGACCGTTACGACGAGATAAAAGCGGAATACAACAAGTCGGACGAGGACATGCGAAACTCCGGGGTGTTGCGTATCGATCCGTCGTTCAGGATCGTAGCCTTAGCAGAGTCGCCGATGATCAACAGCCCGTCGGGGCAATGGTTGAACTCGGAGCTGCTCAGTTTGTTCCTCTTCCACGAGATGAGACCGCTCGCCAAATCAGAGGAGTTGCAGATCATCCGATCGAAGGTGTTTATTCTAGCGTCCGAGCAACTCTTTAACCTTTCGTCTCGCGTGCTAAGCACCTTACGCTGTTTCAGTACGGCAAGCCCTCCGAAGCGTTGTCGAGGATTTTAGAATTGGCGCACGTGCTCCGGTCCTCCAGTGATCCGATTCTGCAATCGTTGGCGGCGTCTTTGAGTACCAGGCAGCTTTTGAGGATAGCCGGGAGGATGCACAAATTTCGCGACGACGACGACGCTTACAACGCGGTGCAGCGCGCGTGTTTGGCCCGTTTTCTGCCGGCGGTGGCGAGAAATGCCCTCGACGACTGTTGCAAACGAATCGGTATTGTCCGGGCGACGAGCGCGCCGAGCACCGACATGAAGTGCGAAGTGACGGAGAACGCGGTTCGGATCGGGAACACCATTGTTGATCGATACCAGACGAACGCTCTGACCAAAGTACCTGATATCTTGTTCTATGACGTGCCGCAGCACGTTGCTTTATTGGAGAGGCTGCTGCAGGACTTCAGTTTGGGACAGCATCTCTTGCTGGTCGGGAACCAGGGAGTTGGCAAGAATAAAATCGTTGACCGACTATTGCAACTTCTGAACAGGCCACGCGAGTATATACAGCTGCACAGAGACACGACTGTTCAAACTTTGACTCTGCAGCCGATGGTTAGGGACGGGAAAGTCGTGTACGAAGACTCACCGCTCGTGCAGGCTGTTAAACTGGGCCATGTGCTCGTCGTTGATGAAGCGGACAAAGCACCTACTAATGTCACCTGCATTTTGAAGGTCTGCATCTTTATTATTTCGTTATTATGAAATAATGTAGCTACTTGTAGTTAGTTTGAATCGAAGGTAATATATTAGCCAAGATATTTAATATTAATCTAGCTTTAGTTAGGCATATTTTTTATCGCCCGAAGTAGGCGAGTTGTTCGGCTACTCTGTTTTAAATTGTTTTAACTAAGTACTTTATCGTTCCTAGACATTAGTCGAATCTGGAGAAATGATATTGTCCGATGGTAGACGTATCGTTCCCGGTACTAATACCATGGCACAAAATTCAAATGCGATAGCCCTTCATCCAGACTTCAGAATGATAGTATTGGCCAACAGGCCTGGCTTCCCATTCCTGGGCAATGACTTTTTCGGAGCTTTGGGCGATCTGTTCAGCACGCACGCGGTCGATAATCCAAGCGTCGAAAGTGAGATACAGCTTTTGAAGCAATACGGGCCGGGCGTGAACGAGCAAATAATATTGAAGTTAGTGAAAGCTTTTGGAGAATTGAGGAACATGGCCGATCAAGGCTTAGTTTCCTATCCGTATTCGACTCGAGAAGTTGTTAATATCGTGAAACATTTAGAGGTAAGGTGTACCAATTGAATGTTCAACTTTTATTCGAATTTTCATATGTTATTTATAATTTCAGAAATTCCCTAGAGAATCTTTGGCTAATGTAGTAAGGAACGTATTCGATTTCGATCGGTACAGCAAAGAAGTTTTTGATACCTTAGTATCCGTCCTACGCAAACACGAGATTCTTATAGGAACTAGTAATGTTACGTTAGCGAAAGAGTAAGATATCAAATGTAGATAATAAAATTGTTAAAAGAATTTTTATTTGATATAAATAAACTATATATGTTTATATGAAATATGCGTTTTTATTTGGTTTTCAATAAGAGATTAATAGTAATAAATTCTAATGCGAAGGGAATATAAGATTTAATATTTTGTTGTTCCTTTCTATTTCAGAATTTCATTCCCGGAAAACAAGACTCGTATTGTCTGGGATCTTTTAAATGAGCAAACACCGTTATCGGTCCAAGGAAGATACATTAAATTTAAGTCGCCCGTCTATTTGCGTCAAAACAGTTTACCAGTAGATTGCGTTGAAGCTAGATTAACGTTATTTAGTGAATTACAAAAGTATTGGAACATACCGATCAACGATAATAGTGGAATTGCTGGTTTGACGGTGGCTAAAGGCGTCAAAGGAGATGGCACGGATGATACGATTCATATTTTAGCGTTGAATCCTTTGAGAATCTTTAGCATAAATCAAGAGTCGGACGAAGTTCTAGAGACTGAGATACAAGGTCTGATAAACGCAGTCAGCAAGTCCAGGCAAGTGTTTAATCTCACAACTGATAATGAACAAAATGTTTTGGTACATGAAGGAAATGTAAGTAATTTTTTAAAGACGCACAATCAACTTTCTACTCTAATCGGAATTGATCATATAAAAATATGTATTTTCAGACCAACGGTTTATTAAAGATTAACTTAAATAACCGAACTGCTCAGCAATTACAATCATCTTCCTTCATAGACCTGGTTTCAGACAAAATATCAACGAATTTCGATATGAAAAAATATTATTGGAAGATGAATACAGATTTGTTGCAGTCTCACAACCAACTCGTTTTTTATACCCATAATTCAAATAAAATAGAAGTGATCGATTTAAATTCGTCGAATGCTTATACGATCCACTTACCATTCCACTTGAATTCAGTTTTGGTTGGCTCTGAAAGGAAATGGCTGATTCAAGACACGTTTGAGAACAACTACATTCTTAGAAAGTCTATCGACTCGTCCCCCTGCCCAAACATTCTACAAGAATTAAAGGAATCCATTAAGTCCCGTGAAGTAGTTGGTTCGTTACAGAGTTGCAGTAAAAACAACTTAAGTTCTAATATACTTAACGCAGCTCTGCAACAGAAAGTTGACGCCCCGAATAGACTTCTGGCAACCGAGAATACGTACGCCGGGATTGCAGTTGGATTCCCTGATTTGGATAGTTTTACAGAATTTCATTTTTGGCCAAGACAAAACTGGTACAGGAGGAACATTAATCCGCCCATTGTTATAGAGAACGGGCAAATTATTCGAGCTGTTGGACCAAAAGATGTACCTAGAGATATTCTTGATGGCCAACATTTGGAAATTCCAAACTATTTAGAGATTGTTGATACCGCAGCCCATAAATTACGTTATATACCTGTACCACAGTAAGTATATATTCGTTACACCTATCAGTTTCAGTATTTTTTACACTGTGAAAACTTCCCCTAATCTAAGGGATGAAAAATATATTTGACGACGTGTCTTCATAATTAATGGAGTTAGAAAAAAATGTTCATTCCTCAGATTGAGAGAAGTTATCACAATTTAGAAAGTACTGAAGCTGATGGTAAATGAGTATTTTCAATCATTTATTTATTTATTGTTATATTTTTGTGGAAATTTGTAGAACAGCCGATGTGTCGCACGTAGATCAAAGATTGAACACGTATCATGATCCTTTACACGTTGCGCCGAAGTCGAATCATGATTTGGTAACGGTTGACGCCAGTGGTTGCGTTCGTCTTTGGGAAACATCCGTCGCGAATATCGCGAAGTCTTTGGATACATGGAGGAAGATGGTCGACAATGACAGTGAAACATTACAGATAACTAAAGAGAGGTATTCCGGATTGGACGTTAGTGCTCCAAAGCACGGTAAAGTTGACGAGAAAAATGAGCCGCACGTTGGAGGAAATACGTGGGCCGGAGGAACCGGAGGTACTGCACGCGACGCTTGAATAATAAAATCGGGGTTTGAGTGTTCAATGAAATTTGCAGGAAGAGATACAGCTGGTCTTGGTGGGAAAGGTGGACCTTATCGTTTGGACGCCGGCCATACCGTGCACCAACTTAGCGACGAGGAAAAGAACGCCGTACCGGAACACATAAAAAAGGCAGCGAGGGAAATGGGGCTCAAGGTGTTTAAACAGCGCTTGAAAGATATTAAAATGAGAGAGTATGACCATAAAGTGTACTCCAAGTTCAGTAATGCTGTTCAGAAACAGGTTCAGGCCTTGAGGACAATAATCGGTAAACACTTAATCGTTTCTTATTTTTACGAGCAATGTAACTTAAAAGTATAAAACAGTAATTTATAACAATGTATTTGATGATATTTATATATGAATTTATTGATTAATAAAAATGAAAATCTTTCTCGCAGGAAGTCTTCAAGCTAAAAGTAAAGAGCGAGAATGGTGCAGGCATCAAACTTCCGGCGAATTAGATGATACAAAATTAATAGAAGGTTTAACGGGAGAGAGAACAATATATCGAAGAAGAGCTGAGAAAGAACCGGAGGTTGGTACACCGCCATCGAAACCGAAACGTTTGAAATTAGTGGTCGATGTATCCGGTAGTATGTATAGATTCAACGGATACGATGGGCGTATGGACCGAGAGATGGAGGCCTGTGTTATGGTAATGGAAGCGTTCAGCGGATACGAAGGAAAGTTTCAGTATGATATTGTTGGTCATTCTGGAGATCAATATGATATAGTTTTTGTCAAGCACACTCAACCACCAACGGATAATAAGCGAAGACTGGAAGTAATACAGGTGACGAGTGCCAAAGAATTTTATTGGAGACGAATCGTACTTGAAAAGTTGGAAGTTAGTGTTCTAAAGAAAGTAATATTTTTCAGATGATGCATGCGCACTCGCAGTTTTGTATGTCTGGTGATCATACTCTGGAAGCAACTCAGCATGCAATTGCAAGCCTCGCCAAAGAGGATTCTGACGAGTCTATCGTTGTCGTATTGTCGGATGCCAATTTGGAACGTTACGGGATCAGACCGAAACAGTTTGCTGCAGTTCTTATGTCGAATCCGAGCGTCAACGCTTTCGCTATATTTATTGGATCTTTGGGCGATCAAGCACCCAGGTGATTATCATTGTGCATTAGTTAATATAAAATATTTAATTCCAAAATAACTGTTTAAATATGTAAATGCATGTACATTTGATTTTAAGATTGATGCGTAGTATGCCATCCAGCCGGTCATTCGTTTGTATGGATCTCAAGGATATACCTCGCATTTTGCAACAAATCTTTGCAGTCTCTTTACTAAGCACTACACGATCCAATTAAAACACCGGTTTGGTAAATATGTACAAGTTTTATAAATATTTGTATCAAGACGTGATGTAAATATTAATTTTTAATTATATTAGTATGAAAGATTAGTTTTTACCTGAATTTATGAATGTAGATACTGAAGTATTAAAAATACCATAGAAATAACAACACTAATACATGTCTATAGAAATACTTTATTCCACAAGAGTGAACCAAAGATAGAATTCATTGGTACAGCACACGACTGTACATACAGATCAAAATAAAATAAATTCTCCAATAAAATTTCTCGATGTTATTTCACCTAACAACGTTTTCCAAAAGTCATTAATTCATTCACCAAATCCAAACACGTACCACTCTACAAATCCCCAATCAACCGACAAATACAAACAGCGACAAAAGCACCCGCAACGGTGAGCTACCAAGCTCATCATCATTTCACCTCCCATAATTTTTGCATTACATTCAGCTCGCGCCCCCTCGTTCAACCTCATCGCCCACTAAACACGATGTTATCATTCTTCAGCGGAATCAGCTCACAAAGATAACACGCAACAATTAACGGCGAAAACAGCGGGAAGAGGGGCTGGCAGCGACGCGTATCGCGAATCGGCGCACGTGTTCCCCTCGTCGAAACCAGGACAAAACGTAGGCGGAAGAGGTTGCCGGATCTCGAGGACTCCGTCTGGCCTCGCGGGTAGGTCGCGTCGCGCGTCGCGTTC